CCCCCTTCGACGTCTTGCCGCTGCCCCTGGCCAGGGTGATGATCGTATTTATCATACAGTGCAACTCGTCATCTGGAAACCAGCGATATCTTGATCACAGCGAGTCAATCGTTGACGATGGAATTCCTTAAAGGAGTCGATGGCGTGGAGCGTTCGGCGAGTGATCCAGTACAGTCGTATATGATCAAAGGTGGGAGTTGGTCGACCGCAACACTCAAGCACTACAACGCTGGTGTATCCAAACTGGTGGCCTTCGCATTAGAAAACAACATTCCAAGGAGCCTCCTGTTACCAGTCAATACAACTGTTCTATCTCACTTCGTAGTTTGGACGGGACCGAAATTAGAACCATCAGAAATAGATCCTCTATCCCCTCCGCTTAAATCGAATACAATCAGAACCTACCTGTCGGGTGTGAAGGCCTGGCACCTTTTCCACGGCTACGAATACCCTCACGAAGTAACTCCGAAAATAGAAGCCATCCTGAAGGCAGCCAAAAAGCTAGAGCTGAAGGACGAACCTAAACTGGCAAAGAACCCAGTTCTAGTAAAACACCTTTTCGGACTATTAGAGAACCTCGCGAACGATAACCTAGAAAGTAAGTTGCCTACACGGTCGCCTTAGTTGCGTTTTGGGAGATGGCGAGGCTCGGAGAGCTCGTGAAGGCTTCGTGTGTTGCAGATCAAGTGAAGGTCAAAGATATCATATGGGATCCGAATCAAAAATTCTTGAAAATCAAAATTTGAGCAGCCAAGACGGCAGCCGTTGGCGAGCTGCAGGAGATCCACTGCCAATATCAGAACTTGCTTCTAGACCCAGTTGGCGCAGTTCGAAGATTGATTCAACAGATGGGTACAACCGACGATGAACCGTTATTTTCCTACCCACAAGGCACGAAGCGTATTACCCTGACAAAAGCTAGATGTCAGAAGATCTTCTCAGACGTATGGAAAAAATATAGTAATACTCTACTCACCGGCCACTCCTTCCGGGTTGGAGGAGCGTCTCTAAGGTGGAACCTCGACCACCCTCTGGAAGAGATAGTCGCAGTAGGGAGGTGGAGATCAAAGGTGTACAAGTTATACATACGCGAGTGCAGCGACGCAGAATTGTTGAATACACTTAAGCTGTTAGAAAGTATACAATACGATAATTAAGACGGGTTGTCCAGTTGAATTAGTAATAACGATACCTTACAAAGTGCTGCAGCCTGACAGCGGCAATATAGTAAGAGTTACCGCGCAAACTTGGGGGGGACATTGACCCAGACCACAGTAGACGGGAGTTCGCAGGCTCAGGACTGTGTCCTGAGTCATGGGGGAGCACTCTCCCATCTACTCTCTGGGTAGTCCTACCTCCCTCAGCTCCCTATTAGAGCTGAGGCCCCCCCCCAAGAAACCTAAAGAGTTCTCGTATGAATTCTTCAAGTTTGTCTAGGACAAACCGCGTCTTGTAAACTACCAACTTTACATCAATAGCGTAGAATGAATAGAGACGAATAAAGAAAGAAATGAACATTGATCTATCAGAATCCGTTTGATTATGATTAAGGGTTACATAAGAATTAACCCGAGTAATAGAAACAGTACTCTCCCTCAGGAGATATCGTGAGTAAAGAGTGGATTTAGTATTAAGGATAGGGATGACTTGATCCATCTATTTACAAATTACAGATAGTGTTGCACAATCAATACAGAAAATTGGACTATAACTCTTCATAAAAGTGTTGTATGATGAACATTTTCTAACAAAAATCCAAGAAAATTCCTACACACACTCCTGATGCATCTATGTCAAATTGTCATGTACTAATTACAAACAATTTTTGAGATTCATACCATCAGACAACCACCTTTTTTTTAGGAAATTGAATTCATACCTCCCAAGTTGATAGGCTTTGAAGGGGTTGTAAAGGACTTGTATGTCCTCAGTACGAAACACTTGGTTTATCAAACCAACAAAACAGAAGCTCAAACGGTACAAGATGAAGAAAGTGTTTCTAGAACCAATGTATATGTTTATTGTTATTCAATAAATAACTTTGAAGGATTGTGAACCAAGTGTTATTCTAGATTCCCCCAAGGAGTCAGGAGTGCACATGGTCCTGACTCCTGGGAATGATTTGAAATGATAAAGTGAATCTACAGCACTTCAAGAATCCTTTGGTTTATTTGGCGGTCTTTTTTTCCAAGTTTTGGACAAAACTCGGAAAAAAACTCTTTTGGACAGTTCAAATTTGACGGATTGTAGTAGTATAAAAGTGGTTTCAGCAAGGGTTTTGGTCATTTATTTTGTTCTCTTGTGTCAAAAAAACCCAAAGGATTCTTGAAGCGCTGTACAATAAGGGTACTCAAAGCAAAGTATGTAGCGCTACATACTTTTCGCTACATACTTTTTTTGGCGGGGACAAAGAAAAAAAATATACTTTTGGCCTTGCCTTCCCCGCCAAAAAAAGTATATAGCAAAAAGTATGTACACGTACATACTTACTTTGAGTACCCTTAATACATCTTGTTATCAGTATATTTTTATATGCTTGTATCTGTAATGTTTCAAGCGAGGTGTATCATGAGGGTTTGCTTGGTTCAGACTAGCCCATACCCATAACCACACAAGTTAGCCAGCTCAGAACCTGCATCATATCAACTACAGACACCTCCAATGTTCAAATTGATATCCATCCTCCCAATCTCTGCTTAACAACTCCAATATCCAGCAGCTCAACTTACATTACAATCACTCACAAGGCTCATATATTTATTTTTATGCCATTCAAAACATGTGTGTACATCTGTATTTCTCACCTTGTTCACTTCTATTCAATGCACAGCCAAACACACCAAAACTGTTTTGACCACCTGGCCTTGGTCAGATTATGACACAGCTCTTGCAACATTTGGAATTCATGTTGATTTAACCAGGTTCCAGAAAAAAGTTGAACTTGAAGATTGTGTTTTGAGAAACACATTCTGCTTAACTTAGTGGACCAAACAGCTGATTGATAAACTTTAAAACTTGGTCAAGGGGACATTGGCTTGCTACCAATCCAAGGTGAAAACAGATCTATAGGAAGACCCTTAAAAGGATCTGACTAATCAAAGAGATTTAACTTGTTCTCTTTCTTTTACATGTAGGCTTTTGAAAGTAAATCTTTGTATATACACATAGTGACTCTACTTATGTTCTTCTATACATGATGATGTAGTGAGTCACTATATTGAAATATGTGTGCTCTTGACTTCTTGATTCTACATACATGTTATATACACATAGCAACTTCAAAGAAACAAATTGCCTTGAAAAAACAAAGATTAAGGTCAATTCAGTATCAAGAATAAAAGTAAATTTGTGTTCAGTTGCACTGTTTCCATATCCTACATCCACATTACACTACCCAATGGTGTGGCTGTGAAGTTATTACATCAACAGTCTCAATACTTAACAGTGAGTAAGAAACATTCACATTAAACCTTTGACAGGTCTAATTGATTGTGAGGGGAGGCACACAGTTAGGATTGATTGATCTTAGTACATATGGGGATGGGGGCCCTATGCTGCATGTGATACAAGTGATATCTGAATATGTTTGATCACATTACAAGTCACATCAAAATGGACAAAAGCAGAAAGCAAATATCTTAAAGTGAAATAGAGAATGTTACCAAAAAAGTCAACTTTGAAAGATAGGGTCCACCTCTCTTTAAGAGATTTGATCAACTACTGTAAATATTAGTACTAGTCAAAGTTCTGACAAAGATTTGGCTATGGTGAGACTTCCAGCCCCATACTGGTCCTGTGATGTGTTAATAAATCCATCAAACCCTTGGGATTCTCCTAGGATCACTTCCTCTGTAGTGCAATAGTTGGCATTTTGTGTTGATGAAATACAAAATCCAGGAGGCAAGTTTGAGAATACCAATGTGTTTGGCTATGAGTCCTGGGTGTGTTTGATGCAGCTTTGTGTTCAGACAAACTATGCCTGGAGACTGAGCAGTCTCTGCAATCAGATGATTAGGATGGTGTCACATCATCTTGTGACGTGAGTTAGAGGCATTTGAAGTTTGGTAGGATCAAGTCAGGCCGGGGGTGTGTCTGACAAGAGGTGCCAAAAGGCACATCCAAACTTACTAAAGTGGGCTTTGCTGCATACTTGGTTGTGTTTACACAAACTCTCACTATTGTTTGACACTGGATTGGCTTTTTCCTACTTGCTCACAGCTAAAGAGTGTGACCAATCAGCTGGTAGCACAAGGCAAGATGTACCTCTTGTGACAATGTTGTGGATGGTATCACTAAAGAAGATTTCTACATTCAAGCCAAGCAACATCAAACAAAAAAGTAAAGCTGATTCAAATTTAAGACTATTGTAAACCAATCAAAGATGATTGGAAGGAATTTGATGAAG